CAAAGTATAGTAGGTTCTCTCCATCAGATATTTCCAGCTAGCTTAAACTCTTCTCCCAGAGTTTTTTTCCGTCCAACGCCTTCATGGCTTCCGCCAGGTCGTTCAACATGTTTTGGTGCATGTTGCAAATTGGAATTAATTGATTAATTAAACTCTTCTCCCAGAGTTTCTAGCTGTGTTCTCATCACTTGGAGAGAATGAGCTTCTCAGCGTCGAAGACACAATAAACAATTCCAATGTCAAACCAATGTAGGTATCTTCAGCTCAAGCAATAAGCTGTACCAGATCCAAGTAGAATCCAGAATAAGATATAGAACTGAGCAATACACCACAATCAGTATTGACCTGATCAATGACATCATCCTGATGTCAGAAATGATCAGTCCGAAGACCAATATTTTTTTTTCCTCGAGTGTGGCCGATGTCGCGCTAAAGGCTCGGTCCTTACATGAGCATAAGCAGGAAAGACATTTGTACAAGGACATATCAAGTCCATTGAGACGGCAAATCGATTAAAAAAACACACAAACAAAAAAAAACAACAGAAGCCAACCAAACACGACGACCCGCAAATCCCCCAGCCAGACTTGCGTTTCGCCAGCGGAAACAGCGAAGCAAACGGCAAAACACCAAACAACAAACAAAAAACGGGGCCAGAGCCCAAACAGAACACCCACAAAATCGATTTGCAAGGGGACGCAGTGGCTTGTCCACTGCATCATTCTCAAAAACGTGCCAATGAATTAAGGATCACGGCTTTCGGGCAAACATGAAGGCTTTAGCTTGTAAGTTTGCTCAAGCATGTGCCAAGCTGTACACGAAAGCGGCTACAAATTAAGTCTCTCTCAGCGTCCTCTCAGATCAGCTCGTCAGAGGGCCTCCATGGACAGAGTCGTCACCATATCTGTCAACCGCAACCACGAAGCCGTGATGGTGAAAAAGTCAGATCCCCCCAGAGGGGGAGGTGGACAGTGATGGCATACGGGAAGCAATGCAGGCCAGGGAAAAGCTTCCAAAATACCATCGCCAATACCCAGCATGCCCCTAGTTTCATAGGGGAAGATGCAGCCATCAGATTGATTGGTCTCAGCCAGCGAAGCTCCGAGACAATACTCGCAAAGCTGAGAGACATGCAAAAAACCATTGTGTTCGCAAATTTGTATTCGCAAGTTCCACCATACAAGTGCTGTCTTAGGCAGCGTAACTCTCTTTGATGTAGGTTCGCAAAACATACAAACTACAGAACTGTTCAGGACATTTCAGGATGTCATCGTCCCTAAAAGACCTGCAGTGCAATCCAAACCAATGACGTCTTGCGTGCAGTAGCGGCCATTCAGCATCTCTCATCCCCCACGCCACCTGATAGCCCCTTCCTAAGAGCGTTAGGGACAACAGCTGCTCTCAAGGCCCCACCACAAACTGACACCCTAGCGCAAAGAGCCCTGGAGGAATGGGAACGCACTTTGTGTGAAAACAAGGCAGTGGCAATCCTCGCAGAGGTGCAAGCCGGCCGACCAACCATAATTCATAAAGATGGTGGCGAAATGCTAATTGCCATTGTCCTTGACAAGCCACTACCGGAAGCGAAAGCACTAGTTGATGACCCTGCAGCCTTCACCCGCGAAATGAGCAGGATCCTGCGCGAAAAACAAAGCCATCCACTTATTGCCCAAATGATGAAACCAGCCGAAAGCAGTGACCCCCTGCAAATGCCGCATCCAGTAGCACCGGTAGCCGTGATAAACCCTGCACCAGTCAGTCCGTGCAGTTTCAGTAAGCTACTAGAGCTAACGTGGGGTCCACGGTTACCATGCATGACACTCGACCTGGGTTGAGATGCTTTGTCACCATGGGGTCCATTGGTTGACTACCACCCAGAGCGGCTACCTTTGTTGTAAGCATGCCGGGGCCAGTATGGGACGGGAGGCGGTGGAGGCGGTTTTCATAACCTTGAAGGTTTTTGTTTGTTTGTTCGTGTTGTTAATTGTAGTGTGGCAGTGCAGTGCGATATCACATTACATCTAGCCATGGTGCCCGTCGCCGTTTGACCCTTCAACCAATCTTTCGACCGGCCAAATGAACTTTCATCACACCTCCCCATGCCTTTCCTCGACCAAGTTTACGGTGAGTTTTAACTGAATGCCCAGAGGCCTTACGTCTACCGAACAGCCTGTAAACAGCTAGCCTTTTGGGATGGAACGACCGACTCCTGTTAAAGATGCTGCTGTCCATCGCCTTGCAAAGTCCATTACCCGACTACCCTCTGCCAGGTCACTACCAGCGAAGTCGATGATGCCACCAAACTTCTAGAGAAGGTACGCTGGAAGCTCCAAGGCACATAAAACATCCCATCCCAGAAGCAAACACCAACACAAACTAAGCAGTGATTTGAGTGAAAAAGATTAATTGAGGC